CTAAACCTAGCCCTGTAGATTTCCGACTGATTTTGGGTTCTGTACCTGAGTTCTAGAGCCGCTACCAGTGCATCTAATTCACTTTTAAATTTACTAATTTTTTCCATTTGTACTTCTTGTTTCCTTTCTTGTTCCAGTTGCCACTGCTGTAGTCTCTCTTCTTGTTTCTTTTCTTGTTCTTCTTGTTTATTTTCTTTCTCCTCCAACAACTGCTGTAATTTCTCTTCTTGTTTATTTTCTTTCTCCTTCAACAACTGCTGTAATTTCTCTTCTTGTTTATTTTGTTGTTCGAGCTGCCACTGTTGCAGGTTTTCTTGCCACTGCTGTAATCTTTCTTCTTGTTTCTTTTCTTTTTCCTCCAACAACTGCTGTAATTTCTTTTGTTTATTTTCCTGTTCGAGCTGCCATTGTTGCAGGTTTTCTTGCAACTGCTGTTGTCTCTCTTCTTGTTTCTTTTCTTTTTCCTCTAACAATTGTTGTAATTTCTCTTCTCGTTCTTCTTGTTCGTTTTCTTTTTCCTCTAACAACTGTTGTAATTTCTCTTCTTGTTTCTGTATTGCTGCCACAAATCTGCTAAGCTGTAGTTTGATTTTCCGCCTCTCGTTTCCATCTTCTTCTCTCTTTTTTTTCTATCCCACTCTCTGACACCAATTTGTTATGTCTCCATTCGTTAATTAACTTTCCGTAACTTCGTTCGGACGAAACTTTAGCAACACAAGTCCTTACTTAATAAAACTGGTTTATTCTTTCCGAATATAACTTTACGATACACTTAATTTCAACTATCACGCTAAAACAAACGCTATAACAACGAACGTGCTCAATAATACTCTCTGACTGCAGATCAATTACTCACTGTCTACACACACATTATTGTTCCGTCACGTTGTCACCCTCTTATATATACCAGACCACCCCCCAATCTAGTAAATGCTAGAGCACTCTCGAAGGAACGGGATAGTTCTAGAAAGCAGGTGGCGTGGCAATAGTCACGTGATCTCGCTGACGCAACAGTATTGTTGCATCAGCGAGGTCATGTGACTAGTATCACGCCACGTCCTTCTCGAACCTTCGTGAATTGTCGGGAGACTACTAGACTGGGGTAGTTTTGTATATATATAAGACTGGCCACGAAGCGACCGGGAAAATGTGTGTAATTGAACGGAGTATTGTTGAGGTGAGCACGGGAGACATTCATTGAGAATTATAGCGTCTGTTATAGCGAGACTGTTGAAATTAAGTGTATCGCAAAGTTATATTCAGAAAGAATAAACCAGTTTTATTTAAGAAAGGACTTGTGTCGCTAAAATTTCGTCGGAACGAATTTACGGAAAATTAACTAACGAACGGAAACGTAACAATATATTGAGCAAAAGTACATTTTAAATTTTATATAAATTCTTTGAATTTAACTATTCTTTCAGATTTGTAAAGTAGGCTTCTATTCTAATTTTAAAATTTATTCGGCGTAAGAGTTTCTGTAATAAGTGGATTCATCATAAAGAAATTAAACAATAACATAATAAATTTTTGGACTTGAAAATATGACATGTTTATTAATGAATGACATTGCAAGATTGAACAAGAAGACAATGCTGCAAAGATGTAGTATAAGATTATTTGATGAATTATTTAAATATATTTTTAGAGGGAAGTGATTACTTCAATTTTATTTTAATGCTAAAAAATATAGATATTCTGTACTTTTAGATGATGCAAATGCATGCTATGGCAGTTTTAAGTCCTATTGTTTTAGACATAACAAAGACATGGTAATTAATGTATTATATTTTAATTTCTACAAAAAATAGTTCTTTGTATATGTAGCTGACACCTGTGTATTTTATACTATTTTAATTTAACTACATTAATAATTTTTTGTCTCTTTTAAATATGACTTGCAAAAATTTTCATCCAGACTTTAAAAATGTGCACTTTATAAAATCTTGTAAGACTTTTGGATTTAGAGTGTTTTTACTTTAATTCAAAATTAGGCAATATTCAAGTAGTTACAAACAGGCTAAGATCATTCTCACATTTCTTTATTATTAAATTGGGGAAAATGCTTTATGGTGTGCAAGTAGAATTTCCAAATGAATTAGATAAAGGAGAAAGGATTAAATTGAAACATATTTTAAGACATTTTTGTTATATACAAACACAAGCATATTGTCTTATATCTTGTATGCTTAATTTTCAGCTATTTTGAGAAGACTGTTCTTTATTGCTCATCATTTGCCAACTTAATTCCTGTATCTTTTGTGCTGGGCTTCTATGTTTCTTTGATCATTGGAAGATGGTGGGACACTTATATGAGTATGCCTTGGCCAGACAATATGGCATTTTATGTTAGTACTTTCATTAATGGCCAGGTAAGGAAAATATTAATAATAATAAAAACTGCAATGACATAAATATAATTAAGCAGTTACTACCCTAACATGTATCATGATGTATTTACTCTCTGTATATTTTTAGTCTTTTTTTTTTCTGTGATTATATAAACATTGGTTACTTAAAGAATTTTAACACAAGCAGTTCACAAGGTTCTCACCTAACATTTTCCCACAGCTCGAGAGGTTCTATCTTTTTTAGGGATGTGGGCTTCCTCATAAGCTTTCATTCCCATGGGTCGGACTTGTATGCAATCCCTTCCATGGGAACTCTTAGATCTACTTGGATTACTTGGACCACCCTTTTGCCATTCATTCCCCGATCAGAGCCAACCTGGCCTAGTGGTTAGACAGAAACCAGACTATGGTAGGGGTGTCACTTCTGCCTTGTCCAGATTTACATCAGTTCACTGACTCTATTTAGAGGGTTGGAATTCTTATCTTGTCTCCTAGGAGATTTCTGGTCTCTGGTTGGTTAAGGAGTCTTCGCTCCTTATCACCATTCTCAAGCTTATAGCAGTTCGTCAAGCATTGTTTCACTTCCTCCCTCTCTTGCATGTGAGGGTAGTTATGGTACACTTTGACAACTCCACAGTGGTCAGTTATATCACCAAGCACAGGTGGACCATTTCCAGGTCTCTGTGCTTTTAGACCCTGGATCTCCTTTTTTGGGCTTACAGTCACCACATTGTGGCCTTTACTTGCCATGTTCCTGGCACCTTGAATCTGGTTGCTGATTGATTATCTTGTCCCAACAGAGTGATCCCTTGATCCATAGATCTTTTAGTTGGTGTTTTACTAGTTGGAGAAACCACATATATGGCTTTTCCACCCACTGGTACATCAATCTCTTTCCTTTTGGTCTCTCATTCCACACCACTAACTTTGGGGGTGGATGCACTCAGTCAAGATTGGAGGGATCTTTACATCTATGCTGGCCCTCCTTTTTGATTCCTCTCCAGAGTTCTATCCTTAATCCAAACCACTCTAAGTTTATTCCTACTGGTGGTACCATATTGGCCAGCACAACCATGGTTCCCACTGCTCTACAAGATAATAAACTCAACTTTCTTTCTCAACATCATAAAATGAAAAAGTCATTGGCATAATTCAGCTAAATTATGACTTTTTAGCTAAAATTTGTTCAATCAGGATTAATATCCATACTGTCACTACAGTTCAACACAGGTAAAGTACAATATTGTGATGTAAAATACATTTCCTGGCCCAAACAAGGACAAACACCAGTGGCCAAACTATTATGCTGTTGGTTGTTATTTGCAAATCGATGCACTTACTTTAAAGAAAAATAAATTATTGCAAAATCCAGTGAAACAATGGATTTTCCACTTATACTGACAGCCACATGATTCATATTCTTAGTCAACATAGGTGTGAGACTGTAGATGAGAGACTTGTATACGTTTATGTGTACTGAATATGTTTACCAAGCATTGCCTTGTCTGCACCACAGAAATATTGTTACTACTCAGCTGGATGTTTCTATCTAAAAGATTCTTGCAAGATGTCACACAAACATCTTGTCATGGAAAAGCACTCAATAGCTTAAAAAGTGTTTCAACTAATGCAAACCATAAACATTCCGCATATTCTTGAAGATATTGTGGCACATCTTCTCTAGTGAGTGGACTATATATCACATCCACAAGAAGCTTTATATTCCAAATAAATGTATGTGTGTGTTTGGTGAACAACCAGTCAAAATCATGGCATACATCAATTATTTGTTCCAGTCAGTTCTGTCATGTTTAACAAACAAACTGTGCATGCATCCAATTAATAGTTTGTATTATCCACATTGTTAAATCATCAGACTCAGGATGATAAGGTGAAGTGCATGCTTTTATCACACCTAATGCTTTGGACAACTCGGAGAATACATGACTGTTGAAATTAGATCCCTGCTCCTTTTAAATTTTTTCAGGTGAGCCAAACTATAAATTAGAGTGCTCTGCCAACACATCAGAGACAAACTGTATTAATGTATAGGCCAATAGATCAGATTTGCTATACCAGTTATTTTGTGCAGCCTATGGGAGAGAACCAATGATATGCAGGACTATTATCTGCGAATGAAAACCAAAAACTCTTTGTCAGAGTTTTCTCTGTCTCTAAATGGTATCTCTCTGGTTGACTGTTGCGTCTTAGTTGTTTATTCCAACAATACACCTTCTTGTACTCATAGTTTGTACAAGTTCCACACATTATTTGCATCTGCACTGGCTACATGTCACTTTCTTGAATGGCAAGGATCAAGCACCCACCCTGGATCTGATCTTTGAGTTTCTTTTTCTAGGGCTTTTGAGGCATTAATTGTGGTGTCCTGTCCTACTGTATGATTTTGTGTCATTGGTGTACTGGTTATAATACTATGCCCAGTAGTAATATTATTTTCCAATCATTATCTCCAGGACTGGGACTCTGCATGACAAGCATGTAAAAATCAAAACTTTGACTAATCAAATTGACTAATTGTGGCAAGACTATGTTTCAGTAGGAGTTATATCCAAGACTTTGAACATGATGTGTGAAGCTGACATTGTTAATAATAGAAATGGTTGAACTAGAAAGCTGAAACTCTATGGAAGTGGTGTAGCATACTGACTGCTGACAAGTACAGGCAAGTTCTAATCCATCATGTCATTCTCTCAAGAACACAGCTCACTGGGTGGTCATTAGTATTCAGTAAGGCTATAACACCTAGCATACAGCAAATGTGGAGATATAATGTTTTGATGCAAAAGAGGTCAATGGAACATTCACAGCACTAGCTTGTCCTCCAGAAAATCGTGATTCTGATATGGTACATTACCTCCTCTCACATAAATAGCTATTCTCGTTCAATGCTGCCCTCTATATGCAAATATTTTTTTTTGCATAGCACAAGCCTTGAGCTCCCACGTACCCTACATTCAACATGGTTCAACTGTGCCTCACATGTAAATCATCATGCTATAACCCTCCATCAATAGGAGTGTGAGACGCTCCCTCTAATCGATTCTACCAAATTATCACTTCTCGTTTGACAACGCTCATGTCAAGAAGTTTTTTTATTGTGCCCTTCAATCGTGTGTTTTTTTTTCATTAAACTTAGTGCATTGTTTACCATTCATTCTGAAGTGGAATTGTTCTTTTCAGTTTTAGAACAGTTTGTGAACTTAAAGATAAATTATTTTTTCCTAGTTTCATTTCTTTATTCTAACACTGTTGTCTTTGATCATTCATTGTTAACAATGAATTCTGAAGTCCAACTTATCACTTCGGAATTAATACCATGTACCAGCACGTTTACACAGGCTGCAGGTGGGGGTAACTCAGATGTGGAATTATCGGCTCTCATATGCCATGAGATTGATCATTACAGGAGTCAACGTACTTCTCCTGATGTTGCCTATATTCTTCCTGGACATGCCAAACCTGTTCGAGCTGTCAAGGAATTTGACAGCCTTTTTCCTCCACATGATTTTGCCTTGTCTTCCTGTGCCTCTACTGCAGAATCAGCTAGGCCTAATACGGCTTTTTATACATGATTTCTCAGGTGTGTTAATTTTTATCCATTTCTCAAATTTCTTATAGTTCTCTTCCTCCTAGTTACCTTTGTTACATGACACCCCTTCCACTCAGTATTTTGTGCTTCCACCTTCCTCGGATATTAGGGTTCATGCAGAGCTTTTTTGTCTCAGTTGGTTGAGGGTATTAGCATGTCTAGCCCTTCACAGACTTCAGATCAGTTTGCTTTAGTATATATCATCAGACTGAATTGCCATTTCTTGATATTCAACAGTTGGAATCGATTTTCCCGTGTGTGTGTGTGTGGGGGGGGGGGTTGACCCGCATCATCCTGTTCGTTTATCCCAAGCCCAGTTTTCCCGTCTTTGTCTTACTCTATCAACTCTTCTATGGTACTTGTTTACTATCCACCTCCTTTACAAGATACTGCATCACGATCCTGAGGGTTTTCTGAGGGATGGCCTCTCCCTGATTACCTCCATGTTGGCATGTTTATCTTCTTTGGCTTCTTCCTTACACACGTGATTTTTCTATTGTTGCGATCTTCTGGGGAGGAATGCTGAATTGTCTCACGTTCGTTTACCAACCTACTTATCTCTTGGACTTACATATGGCTTCCTTTCTCTTGAAGTCTGTTTTGGAAATATTCCTGAGACTTTGGAATCCCATATGGAATTAGTGAGACAGCAGTTGACCATTTCATCTTTGGTTGATTGTTTGCCTCATTCCAAGCCTAGACAAGCCCCTATTACTGTTCCCTATCTCACTCCTTCCCAACCTTTACCAGTTCCTACTTCCAGGGATTCCTCCTCTCATCGTGTTATTTGATGCAAATGAACACGTCACCAACAGTACTGGTGACTATCTGGTGGGTTCTGGTCCAGTGGGAGCTCAATTGACTGATTTTGTTCCCCTATGGTGAGTTTTCATCACAGATCAATGGGTATTATCCAAGGGACTTGTCATCCACTTCCCTCTCCTCCGCTGTTGTCTCTGGTACCCATATCATTTTCATTGCCTCAGGATCCTACCACCAGTTAACATCTGTCAGGGGCAGTACAGAATCTTCTACCTCAGAAAGCCATTGAACCTGTGACTCAACCTTCTCAAGGTTTTATTCCAGGCTGTTTGTGGTACCAGATAAAACTGGGGACTGATGGTCTGTGATAGATTTGTCCCATCTCAATCACTTTTTGGTTCTGCTCTAATTTACCATGGTGGGCTTTTTCTCCAGGTTTATGAATGGCCAAGGTAGATGTCGTGTATACTTATCTGCATATTCCAATATCTTGTCTGTTGAGGTGCTATCTTTGGTTTGTTCATCATTGGGTTGTTTATCAATCTTGCACCTTGCCCTTTGGGCTTGCTTCAGCCCTATGTGTCTTTTGTCGAGTGGTCAGGGCTTTTGCCCAACTTATGCATGCTCAGGGGTTGCACATACACCATTA